ACAAATACATTTCCTCAATATTCTCTTGTGGTTGAATTCCTTGTTTAAGATGATAGAGGCTGATACCAGAGGTGTGTTGGCATGTATGGTGTAAAATTTAGTCTGTGTAACTGATTGCTTCCCTGAGATTTGTATGTCCTCAGGGATCATTTTAGTCTTTGTGCATGTCCAGCCAGGATCAAGTGCATCTGCTCCTGCCTACAACACTTGGAAACCAAGGTAACAGCCAGAGCACACACACACACATGCATCCTGGACATAGTGACATGGATTACATTTCCCTGCAGGGCTGACATATGGGCCTGTGGATGCCAGGGTCCTGCTGTGCCATTTTACACTTCTGGCACACAGACAAGTCTGAAGTCCCGGTAAGAGACATCAATTACCATAAGACTTTTTTTTCCTTACTGGATTGAAAGCACCTCTCACGGACGTGGCCTGTTTACCATACATTGCTAAAAGATCCAAGATCAACGGGCTGATCCGAGAGCAGCTGATTCGGGTAATCCAATTTGCTCGGTTCTTTTAGCCCACTTGAGAATTTAATAAGTACAGCTGGATTCAATATTCTGAGATGATTGCAAACTCCCACTATCATTGACTATGCTATGGTTTGGAGGAGTGACAAAATGAAAGGGTGAAATAACCCCAGCAGAGCAGGAGGAGGATGATAATAAGATGCTTTTTGGTTCAGGTTAAGCCGCATAAATGGTGGCAGCAAGTAACATATGGCAAAAAGTAAATCATTTGTTTGGTAACTGCATCAATAATCTTACAATACACATTTGTCTTACACGTTATTCCTTAATATTTGGACCGAAGAAGAACATGAATAAAGAAATACAGGACTCTTCCTCAAACAGGTTTCAGGGAGAGCTATGTTTCAAAGGTCAACATTATGGGAAAATTGGGAAAAAGTGGGACAATTGATACAACTTTGAATCACACCCTGTTCTTCTTTTATTGATTTCCACCCAACCATTTAAGATGAAGTGAATTTCCCTCAGACTCCACTTGTTTCTTCTAAAATAGACATTCAGACAATGTGCTTTGTTTACAAAATAATAAATACAGTTCCATATGTAAAATGTGTTCTGTGTTAGCCACTGAACTGGTGGAGTGAAAAAAATCAAAGGAAATAAAACGAAAAAATATCTGCAGCAAAGAGTTTTCTTTCATCAATTCCAGTTCAAACTGCATCAAGAACTGTCTTAATTCACATGTAAATATGAACGTATATACTGTTGTGACATACATGCAGTATGTAGGGTGTCTCACTGTTACATGCCACTGACACCGATGGTGTATATAAGTTATTTTTTCCATTCATTCATTCATTCATGCAGTATTGCTGGCATGCCCTGTCAACATCTTGTTAGTATAAACTTTTAAGGATTTGGATGGTTCCAGTAAGACAAAAGTGTGGTTTCCTTTGTTTCTAATGTCTTTCTTTTTTAAACTGTCTGCATTTTCTGACTGCTGCTTATCTGCCAGTAAAGGCTTTTAGCCAGTTTGATTTCTACACAACGACGCAACATGCTGGAGCTGAATCTGACTTAAAAATTCAACCTTCTCTTTTCTGTGCATCTAGACAGATTTCTAAATGTGGTTTTAGTCTGTCTTCTGACTCAAGCTGCATAATAATGATACCATTCTTCAATTTCTTTCTTTCCCCTTTTTTTTGCTTCTGTGAACTTCTAAAAGTGTCACTGAACTTCCAAACAAGCTAAATCCTTTTTACTCACCGACTGGCCACACATACTAACACATTTCTCCGTTGTCTATAATATTACCGCAGACTAATCTCCATGACCTAATACATCTTGACGTCTGGGCTGTGCTTCAACCACCTGGTTATTAATTCAAGACACTGTGTTATCTATCCCAGCTCATGCAATAGATTTCTCTCTCTACTGTCACCTTGGTGGGTTTGATTTTCCTCAGCCCACCCAGAATACATGTGGAGGCTTGGTCCCTTCACCAGATTTAAGTGAAGGTGCAAGAAATGACTGTGAGCGTAATGAAGATGAAGAGCAAAGATGTGAAACCCGAAGGTGTGAGCAGGTGCGAGCATGTCTGGGTTAATCTATGTGTGGAGGTAGTCTATGTGGCATCTAACTGTAACTGTTGATATGTGTGGTGACAGGAGTCTGTCGGGACACCCTACAAATAATGCTCTACTAACCTGATATTTTAATTTTAATCTAGCAAATTATAAACTTTTATTATGAAATATTTAAGATGAGAAAGTCAACTTAACATGTCACAAAAATAATTAAGATTCCCAAAAATGAGATTAACCATTGTGCTACCTGAAAATTATTTTATGGTGTACCTTAACATGGTAACTGACAGCTTTATATTTGGTTATAGATTAGCAGAACAGTATGTATCTAATTTGTTAGCCACTTTAAGTTTACAATGCAATACAAAACTAGTGGCAGAGTATTTTCCAATGACGTGTGAGGGCTACGACAGTGGCCTTGGGTTTGAAATATTACTCATTATAGGTGTTCGGCTTAGGTTTTAAAAAAAGATATTACTAAAAAACAAATGCTGAAATGATCGTCATTATGATCCTGTTTTTATTATCATCATATCTTGGCTGGTAATAGAAAAAGGTAACAGACTGGTCATTTTTGCATGATAATTATGTCATAATATTCTGATATAATCAGGTCTGATCCTGGCAGCCTGAGTGCAAAGTCATTCTTTCAGTGAGGGAAATGAGAAAAGCAAAGAAATACTTCTTTGTCTGATTTTGTGTTGAGCACGAAGCTATGTGTTGTAGCAAAATATTCCCAAGCCTTCTGACACATGCAGGTAAATAATCATGCGCTGCAACTGGTTATGTGTCCGAGGTGGAGCCTCTTTTCCTCTGCGCCATCCACTTTCAGAAATGAGCTGACCAGTATTGGAGCCCTTTTGGTGAGATGCAGGAAATTGTGTGACTTGCCAGGGTATTGAAAAAGATTTTCCAGATGTGTCACCTGTAGGTGACACATCTGGAATGTGGAGGAGGCAGCAGGTAGACAAGACAGTACCTGCTAGTGAAAGGATATTTAAAATGTGGAGGAAAAGGAGTGATGAAAAATCCATCCTATATCTGCCCAGACAAGAAAACAATTTATTCATTAGAAATTACAGATCAGGAAGTCGTGTTCTGCACATCTGGCAGTCTGATGGAAATTCAGGTAGCTCTGATGGCAAACTAATTGACAGAATCTCTGGTGACCACGAGGTTAATATATCCCTGTGGTGACAGACTTACAGGATTCAAATCACTTTAACGATTAAATCTCCTTGAATGTATGGCTCAGATTGGCTGTATTTAACACTTAGCTGGCTCACTCTACTGTCTGGCCAAGATTAAAGAGCTAAATGAAGGACACAACCTTGATGCATGGAAATGATTTTGAATAGCAGGATGTGTAAAAGACATACAGAATGAATGTAGCTATTCATTTCTGCAGCGGTCAAGAACAGTAAATAAACCCACATGTGTACAAAAACAATGGATGAAATGTAAAAACTGAGAGATCTTATTTTGACATAATTCAACCTGAAAATGTTGCATCTTTGTTTAATATTGGTTAGCTGCTCTGGGCATATAGATTAAGAATGTTGCACAAGTAATAGATATCCAAAATAAGTTTGTTTTTTTTATTAGAAAAAGCATTTAAATTATTGAAGCTGCATAATCCTGATGCTGTTTTTGAATTGTGATTTATGGTGATGAAAATGTCATCACATAGACAATGCTTTTCTGGTCTGATGTAAAGTATTTTTTCTGAATTTTGAATTGATTAATTTACATGAAAATGGAAAACTTTAAATCCATTTTTGGTTTGAGCTGAAAGAGATCTTTTTCTTAGTTGTTCAAATAAAAGTCATTGCTGTTGTTCTTCTTGTGATAATTACGTGTGCATTTCGATTAAATAATATCGAACAGACAACAGCGTAACACTCAAGCTTCAATGCCCTACTCATGTCGCATAGCTTTAGTGGGGACCATATTTTCTCTTCAGAGGACATTGTGGAAATGAATCATCTGTAACTCCTATGTTTATGTTTGTCACATTTTTATCAATGCATTTGCCAAAGAACATCAGTCCAACTATTTAGGGCAAAAAACAGAATGAAGGAACATTATATTGCCCTTACTTTTTCCTGTATCTTTATTTTTCGGTTCTGATACCACATGCTTTACAGTGGAATAACTGTTTCTGAACAGCCTTAGCAGCAAAATCCATCTAATAAAGATGTTTGTTGCCTGACAAAAGGGGATTTGGAAAGCAGAAAATGAAGCAAGATTACCTGACTGATCACGAAAATGTGGTGACCTTTGGGAAACTACTCATGCTTCATATCTGTTCAATCATAACTTCATTGTCACAGTATCTGATGTGAAGGGGATAATTTGAATATTTTTTTTCTCTGTAACACTGTGGTAAGTACATAGTGTTAGTCATTTGTCAGCCATGGATATGAACCTCTACTGCCATCTATTGGCAGATTTAATATCCAGTCCAGCTACAACATCCAGTATTTGTTGCTGGAAAAGAGTTACTGATCTGTTTTGGTGTGTCAGAGATTCACAAATAGTCCAAAGGAAATAAAGAACTACTGTATGTTTCCATGTTTTTCTGTAAAAAACTGACAGAGTGATTTTATAAATGACAATCTTAATTAGTCCCTTTTTTCAGAACAGTTTGATTTAATCCCACAAAACAATGAACCAGTGACCTTTATAATGACAGACCGTACAATATGGCACTTCTCATACATAGGCAGCAGTTATTTACAACTAAATGACACATTTAAGATTTATACAGTTTTTTACTATATAAATTGTTCCACCAAAAAGGTCTTCACCAGAGTCTCATTTTAAACTCCTTTCTCTCTAAACAATTTAACACTTGAATTAAATGAATGGTTGATGTTTTTAAGTAATATGCCATTAAACTGAAAACCTGCCCATTACAGGCACACAACAGACTTCTCTGTGGGTGAAATACTTCCTAACTACTCATGTTATAATCTATAAGGATATATGAATATTTCATAAAAAAAACAGTTACAGTTACTGTGACTCTGTGATGAACTACGACTACACAAAGATAGGCTGGGAGACGCCACCCAGTCACCAGTAAGTGTTTGATTACCAAACAGTCCAAACAGTCACCGAATCTTGAATCATTTCCACTCTTTCTTCAATAAAGTTGCTCAGTTGTTGGTCTATATGTACTGAGAATCCATGATGTCCAAGTACTTGGCTTCAATCATCCTGGGCAGCAAGCTGGTTCTGAGATGAAAAGACATAATACAATTTAAGGTCCTCTATAGATATGCAGAAAAACAGTTTTTCATTCCAACTGCTTTTTATTCCAACTGCTTATTAGGAACGGAGTTCCTCATAAATAATTAAGAAGGATGCCTAGAAATTTCACAAACATTCAGCACTCATATTTTGACTTAAGCAGATTTTTCGTGGTCCCACTCTGCCCCCTGTTGGGCAGGGTTATCTCACCTAACAGGGACGAGAAGGATCATCAGTAAGGGGAACACCATCTTCATATAAGGCAGTGGATACATCCCAAAAGCACATAAGATAATGAGTTGGATGATCTGCACAGCAGTGAAGTAGTGCACTTTTCTCTGAGGGACACGGCGAATATAGTGGGTCGGCGGATAAGAGGTCTAGACAGACAAGAGTGAGCATCACGTGGTTAAAATACAGTCTATTCAAGTTGAATTTCAGTAAATCTCCATTATGTTCCTCTTACATAATAAAATTAAAATACCATCTCAAATAGAAATCACTTTGTAGGTTAGAAATAGTGACCCAAATAGGTGTCTAAATTATTTTTATGATGAGTTAGTGCTGCTCACCTGTTCTTTTAACAGCAGGGTCATGCGGTCCACCATCTGATTTCCATCAAGCGACGTGGCGGCAACATAAAGAAAGAGTCCATAGAGGACAGGCTTTGGGATCCACTGCAGCGGAATGGGTAGCATGAACGCAGACAGGCCAATAAGAATGTTTGCAACAAGTGAGGTCAAACGTGTCTCCTTCACACTGACGATCCTATTAAGTGACAAAGGCAGGGAATGTATTTGAAGAAGTCCATCAATTTTAGTTTCATATAATTAAATCAAATATGCTCATCTTATCCAGCATTTGTATAACATGGGACATGTGAAAACAAATGTGTTTTCCAGAAAAAGATTTACCTAATTCTTTCAAAAGCACACAAGAATCAATAACGTTTAGCGGTTTTTATTTCCATAAAAAGGTAAAAATGGAAGGAAATTTTAAACACAGCGGTTAAAGTCAAATTTAAATGAAGCTCAAAGATTGAAAAATCCTATTTTGACATTACTTTTTACTTTTTACATTCACAGTTATATTTCAAACTGCATTTCCAAACTTTTCTCCATATGACAGAATGTAACATAGACATGTTAAAAGAAAGCACAACTATCCATTTAATAGAAAGGATTTTCACTTTTCTACACATGAAACCGGAATTGTCCCATCAGTCAGAAAAAAAAGATAGTACTCATATACTGTAAATATAATGTCAATCAACTCCATGATGTTTTGTGTACTAGTTGTATACATAAAATATGTTTAGAATATCTGAAAAGGCCCTACAATATGCAACCTATTTTCAACAAGTATGATAAATAGCCATACATACCAGATTAAGAACATCAGTTTAAAGCTGACATGACTCAGGATAAACTGATTATAACATAATCTCCAAGATCTTTTTTGCAAGATGAGCCTTCAAGAGCACATCAGGGGATTAAGTTAAAAAAAAAAAATACGAAAGCATTTCATGCTCCAAAGGTCCTTGAGAACTGAGCAAACCACATCATATGATCAAAAACCAAGAAACCAGACACACCAGGAGACAGGTTTTCTATAAAGAGTTTTATGTGTTTTAGCAAATTAGCAATCATTTTTAAAAAATCGATTCCCATAGATTTCTATAAATTAGACCGCTTGAGTTGGAATATTCATATATCTGGCCTCCTCCTTAAACAGCCAACCACACAAAGAAGTGAAAGGGTTGCGACTGCCTGCATCCACCTATTTTTTGAATCCTCGTTTTAACTTTACTCACGTCGTGTAGAGGTGTCCGTTCTCTACATGCGTTTCTACTTTGGCAAGTTGACGGGCGTGTAGGGAGGAATGTGGGAAGGCGGCGTGCATCCATGGCAACCCCAGACAGGACATGAGGATGTTGATGAAGCCGGTCAGCATTAAGTCCCAATGGAAAGCTGTGCCTTTTAACAATCTGGAGCAAATGTACGCAGACAAGCACAAGTTTTAACTGTTTTTTCTTTGGCCTTGCCTCTGTTTTCAAGACAGTCACGACAAGTAAACAGAATAAAATTAGGAAATTAGTCCATTCATTTTTATTTTATTGTCATGCTTTGATGTCTTTATGAATAAATTGGGTCTTACTTGTGTTCTGGTACATGTGTGAGTGAGATGACAATGTTCTGGTCAATAAAGATGAGCAGTGCAAGGAGAAATCCCAGCCCGACTGCACTCAGTGCATTCATTCCTGTCAGCTTTTCAAATGGAGGGTATTTGAAGATCGGACCATCATGGACATTGAATACAGGAACTGAGAGGAGCAAAGAATTTGCAGTTACAAACATTTGTAAAGTACAAACCTACAAAGAAAACGGTGAATATATCCAGGGGGGGAAGCCTTAACTGCTTGGAAGGTGTCTTTTATAGATATTACAATTCCTGTCTTTGGCATGCATCAAGCCACTGACATTTTGAATCAGGAAAAAGCTGTTGTGGGTTTGGGTTGTTACTTTAAATCTCAAGGGTACTAGTCTATCAGTCTGAAGGATCTGTACTCACGCTGTATATCAATGAAAAGGTAGGAGCCAATGAAGGACAATGTCACCACAGAGATAGGCAAAGCACAATCAGAAACCACTTCTCTGATTTTGTCATTCAGATACGGGCTGCAGGGAAAAGAAGCAATGCATGTTTCAATTTTTTACAGCACTGATGCAATAAACAAGTACAAGCGGTATTGGTACAGCAGTTCCTCTTGAAGTTTAAAATGGAAATATTTCATGTCTGATATTGAAAGTTTCCCACTGTCAGAAAAAACTGACACTTTTAAATCAGTCACATAGGTTTTATGTATTACACTATCTTTCATCAAATTAATTCATAAGTTGGAGCCACCTGCATGACTCCTGAGGACTGCCTTTCCCTTTTGTGGAAGTTCTAATGAGTGAGTCATTGTGAAGGGGCCAAAATATAGCCAAACCTTCATTATTTTGTAAAGAAGCCCTGTATTCAAGAGATGAAAACTGAAAAAAAATACTTCTGTCCAGAAGAAAATATAGATATAGTTCAGTCTTTATATTTTACATCAACATGGAACCTCCTTAGCTAAACGCTCTCTTTAGAATATTTCTGGTTTGACAAACCAAAGTAGTTTTGATTAAATCACTCAAATGTAAAAAAAACTAAAACAAGGAAGAATACTGTACCTTCTCTTGATAAGATAGAGAGCATAACCAAGCCACAAAGTCCCCAACATGAGCAGCAGACAGAGGATGGGCCTCTCTCTTGTGCACTCCACTAGTGACTCTGGCAGGAAGACTAACGTGTGATCTTTAGTATGGAATGAAATGTTCCCTCTTACATGCTCAAGCATGTTTGTGGTCTGGTTATTAGCCTTCTCAAGAATCTCATTGATCTGCTGGAGAACTATGGTACTGTTTGTGGTGGTTAGTGTGGGCCCGTGGTAGTAGTGCTCAAAAACTGTGAAGAAAACAGCAAAAGAAAGGGATGATTCTAAGGGGGTGATATGAAAAGAACAGAACTTCTTTTTGTGTATTTAATGAGCATCTTTAAGGTTGATCGTTCAAACTGTTGTTTATCTTGTGCAATTTGGTAGAAAAGTGCAGCAGCCTTTGACAATTGCAGAAAGAGGACAACTTTTAAAAATTGCTAAATAAGTTTTTATTGTCCTCTGACTTCTGAAACACTATGTTGTAGAGTCAAGGACTGTAAACATGGGGGATAAAATCATTGCCCTTAATTTTTATTCTTTGTTATTGTGTGTATACCTGCTGTGCTACATTACCTATAACACTAGTGTTCACAGCATGTTTGATGCAGCTTGCACTTTAGTTGGACTCACTTTTGACGGTGCCTTTCACTGCATCCCCAACAAATGCTATAGAGATGAACAATGCAATTACTTCTTCTGTGGAGCTGTGAGATATGAGACATAGAGCAAACATGTTAGAAACCAAAACAGTTATTTTCATACAAACACTTGTACTCTGGCCTAAATGAAGGAAGAAAAGACTTTATAAAAATGTGGCATTTCACATGAGATTTCCCGTCAGTGCACTGACCCCATATCTGTATGTTTTATCTTTGTATGACACTGGGCAAAAGTCACAGGCTAACCCTCAATTCTTTACTGTGTGCTTCAAACAGTTGGACTTTCTCCAAACCTTTTAAAATGTTTGTGAGCAATCATTCTTCAGACTTTTAAGTATTTTTTTCGTTTGTTTTTTGGGGGAAAATTTGCCACATTGAAATTTAGGATGCTCTTCAAAAAACAAGAAACTGAAAAATCTATACCTGGAAATCTCTTAAAAATGATAAGGGAGCTTTTCTAAGAGGGTTCAAAAACAGAGTGTTGAAGAGATTTCAGGATATATGAAAAAATGTAGGGTGGCTTAAAACTTTTGGACAGTCGTGCATAGAAAAAAAACATTGGTTTGCAAAATGCTATAGAGGATCTTGTCATTCATTTATCTATGTATTTACCGTTTAAAGAGTTTCATCAGCAGGCTGACGTTGAATAAGCCTCCAAGGATGAGGAACAAACTATTCCATAAACCGATGCAGGCATAGAAAGCATCAAAATCAAGGTCGTAGTCATCACAGATACCCCTGATAACTGCAAATATAAATAAGACATACACAGACACACTCATGATTATTGTTCATGTTCAGTGAAACTAGAATGTTTTACAGCTTCATGAAAGAATTGTACAAATGGGTCATTATCAATAATTTGTACATTTAATTGTATGTACTGGTGTCTACTTTGTAAGTCACTTTGGATAAAAGCGTCTGCTAAATGCATAAACATAACATAACAAAGATAGTTGTTGGTTGTCTCTCCTGTTTACTGTCTGCAGATGCTGAATATGTTTGAAACCATGCGGACCCACAGGGCACATGGTAGAGAGACAGTTAGTGTTGAGCCTTCAATGGCAAACGATACTCACCACTTATGAAGATGGCCAGTGGTGCAGTGGTCAGTGGAATGACAAGTGGTGAGCCAGCAAACAGAGAATAGATCACTCCTCCGATGCTTTGACCAACAATAGTCTTCTGAACATCTGCCATTAAACCAAAATCAATTAAAAAATTCAAAGCTCATTCATGAAATTTACACTTGCAACATGCTTCATATTGTTGTTTTTTTATATCTCCATCAATATTTCTAAATAACATTAAATATTTGGCTTGTTACACCAAGTAAAGACAATAAAGAGAATGCCAATACCTATTTCTCCTCTTGTGCTTTCATCATTGAGTGAACCAAAGGCAATGGCAGGAAGTAGAATTGCAATGTAGAGGAAGATGGCAGTGGTGGTGTATTTTAGAAGACAACGGTCCTTCCCAGTTATACCTTTAAGAATTGTATAAGTTACAAAAACTAGAAAAACCTCCAACAAAACTGATTATTGCAAAATAAAACTGTTTGTACCGTCTGTGAAGTCCGATGGGTAGAGAGGCAGTCTGCGACGAAGATCATTGTAAACCCCTTTACCAGCTATAAAGAAGTCTCTGCACTGTGAAGAAAAAAAAAGGGAGAATGTCAGGATAAAAAGAAGCCCCAGCTCAGGCCACAATGATTAATCGCTTTCATGTTAGGACCTGATAGACAATACTTCTTGTTCTTCTATCTTGGCATTGGGATTTTAAGTAAAACACAAAGGGACAGGAGAATGAACAAGGAGCACAGGTCACAGGGCGAGTATAACCAACAGATCTAGCATCAGCTCATTTTTCTCCATCACTGTCGAATTATAAAAAATACAAATAAAATAATAATTAAAAAAATCCATATTATCAAACATCCAGACACACAAAAAGCCATTCCATTAAAAATTTGCTGGTATGAATTCTACATTTTTTTCTTTTTGAAAATGATATGCTAGTTTAAAATATATAGACTGTAAAACTTTATTTTCATATTTTGGAAATAAAAACATGCTGAACCTTTGAATATGCACAAGGTTGATGACAGGAGAGAAATGGAGATCTAACAGAAAATAACTAACTAAAGGATTGTTTGGAATCTGAAGGCAAAGACAAGGCTGAACAATGGATCTTAGAGCTCTCAGGTGTCAAATATTTTAAAAGCGAGATGAGAGTTCTTTAAATAAAGAAACATAATAAAAGTTCCTCCTGCCTCCACAGATATAACTTTAAGCAGAAAGACGTGTGCGCAGCCTTGTCATCTCCTTTTCTGAAGAGGAGACAAAGTCTATCTTGTTATAAATGCACAATGAAGGATCTAATACCCATAATAACGTGCATGTGCCTCAGTTCACAAAGTAACCTTCACATCTGTGAAGGAATCATTAACAAAGAATTGTGGATACATGTTTTGGAAAAACATATATTACATATATTGCCATCCAAGAAGTCAAACTTTTGTTCAAAATGCGAAAACTACAGTCAAAAGATGAACTTGAAAAGTAACGGCTTGCACTGCTGAATTTTTTGGAGCCTCATTATACTTTAATAATGACGATAATTCTCCTTCATGGGTTCATTATTCATCATTTTATTTTCTATTTTGTTGGAGTAAACTATGAGGCAAGCTGAAACTGAAGCTCTGACTGTGAGCAAAAGCAATTGTGGCTCCTTATTCCCTCAGTACACAGAAATCTGAATGGTCAACAACATCTGATACGTGTTGTTGATGACAAAGAGAAGCAAATATAAAGCATGCATAAAACAAAATACTGGCACACCTTGTTTGCCTTTGTAGGTTTACAATTTTGGAATTGAAGAATATGCTAAAAGCCCGATTTGGCTGCAGCAAGCCTTCTCTAAAGAATTGTTTTCTACCCACTTAAACATCAGGTGCAACCACAACCCGTTGTTAACTGCAGCCTTTTACAACCCGAACACATGCTTCCTCTCAGCGTCATTTGGGTGTTCTCTCTTCTCCAACCTCCTGCTGCACTGACACATCTCCTCTTGATTTAAAAACTGGGCATAATGAAATACTTTATCATTACGTGGGGCAGCACACATTCTGCCGTCAGCTCCATGGAAGGCTTGGCAGCTTTTTCAGTCTGTTGCCCAGCTGCTTCTTATTCCTCAGGCCTGGCTAATAGA